TCTTCACGTCACTTAAGCAGAAGTTTGTGTAACGGTTTATCGAAAAAAGACCCCTAAAAATCAAATCGGTGGATATGGAGTTCGTTTTCGCCATGGCTAGGGTATTAAATATTAATAATACGTATCGGTATATATAAAATATATATATACTAATAAATTTTAAAAAGAAATAAAAACAAAAAAAAAATATAATAGTAAAAAAAAATAGAGAAAAAAATGATACAATATAAGTTAATAAGAAAAGAGAATAAAATAAAATAAGATAAAAAAAAAAAAAAGAAAGCGAAAAAAGGAGCAAAAGTAGCAAAATACCTGGTTAAAGTTTCAATCGTGGTTCGAAACTAGAAATTCATTCTACGTATATTATAAAATAACAATAAAAAGTAGAGTACAATATAACGGATAAAGTATCGATTTTTATTAAGGGATTTTACTTTTTTAAAAACTATTAAGCATTTCTAGAATTTCAATAAAAACTTTGAAAAGTTTATTATTTATGATTCTAAGTTTTATTTTTGGGTGTGAAAAGCTTTCACTTTTTATGATTATTTCGTACATATTCAATATAATTATTAGACCTATATATCTTGCCTAGCCGCTAGATCATTCTAAGATTCTTGATTTTCTTGATTGAAAATGAAAATAACAAAGTATAATAATTTATATCATTAATTTAATAAAATTGATTTGGGTTTGATACTATTGACTAAAATGGACCATATATTTAGGTTTTCGTTATCCCAAATTAAGTAGAATCCCGATTTCCAAACCCAACCTATGTAGTAGTGTCATAATTAAAAAAAAAAAATTAACCATAACCTTATTTCCAAAGTTTGCGCAAACTTTCATTTTGTTCTTCGCCCTTTTTTCATAACTTTAGCAACGGCCATTTCAAAATCTTCTTGGGTTACGTGTACGCGACGTTCACGAAGAGCGTACATACCAGCTTCAGTACAGACAGCCTGAACCATTACAAAAAAAAAATATTAGTTTTATAAAAAGGGTAGAGTGTTCGAGTACAAGACGAATTACCTTGACTTCCGCACCACTAGATCCTGTCATTTTTTCTGCAATCTTGCGTAAATTGATGCCACGAGTTAAATTCATCTTACGCGAATGAATTTTTAGGATGTCAGCACGGGCCTATCAAACAAATTGTAAATAAAAAAGTGTAAATTACATGAATAATATCTTTTTGAAAAATAAATAATAAAATTACATACAGCTTCAGATGGTGGAGGAAATTCAATCTTTCTATCAATGCGACCAGGCCGCAATAGTGCGGGATCAAGTATATCAATACGATTTGTTGCCATGATTACCTATAAAAACAGATTAATTTATTAGATAAAAAGGATGGTAATATGCATATAATATTAAAGTGAGTGAAACCTTAATATTCTTTGTAGGTTCAAAACCGTCTAATTGGTTTAATAATTCTAACATTGTTCTCTGTACTTCTGAATCACCACCACCTGAGCCGGATTCTATACGTGAGGAACCAATCGAATCGATCTCATCCATAAAAATGATGGATGGTGCATGTTCTCTATTTTTTTTAAAAAAAAAACGCGTATAAATTGAACGATATTAGATTGAAAGTACGATTAATGCGAAGTTAAATGAAGGATTAATAATAGACACACGTACCTTGCCATAACAAAATGAAAGTTTGCGCAAACTTTGGAAATAAGGTTATG